AAATATTTATAAACATGAATTGCAGATTTTAAATACATAGATTAATAAATGATCTTTATACTCACTAACTAAATTATTTTTTTGCTAAAATATATTGGTTAATATTATGGTCTCAGATATTATTACATCAGACTGGTACAGTTAAAAAAAAAAATCAAAATATCGATATAATATAAACTTTTATACTGGGTATATCCGTCGATTACTTGGGTAACCTGCGAGTTCATCTGTCGAGTAACCCAGATTGTATTTTTTTGATTAGGTACAAACACTAATTTGAAAACATAAATTTGGCTATTACTAATTCATAAATCAATTGCCTGAGTAACTTATCAGTTATATATGTACGTTTAAGTACTTTTTGGGAATACAAAATTACATAGCAAAAAATTGTTAAAAATTAGCTTCAAAAGAGTATTAGAAAGCTAACTCTAAAATTAATCTTCTCTTAATGCATTAAATTAGTGCAAGCAAATTTGCCTGCAAAAAGTTATATATATATAGTTTAAAATTTTTTTTATAAAACTTAATGTTATTTTTAAACTATAAATTATAAGCATCAATTATATTTTATAAAAATTTAGTATAATTTAAAAATGACTGATTTTTTTTATAAAATAAAATTAAATAATTAAGTTACTAATATTTAAAAAATTTTTTAAATATATTCGAACTTTCAAAATATTACTAAATTTTTACTACAACCGCAATACATTTGTATTACTAAGATATTTATTTGTTGTTTTGCATTATAACAAACTAAAAAGTAAATATTCACTCAGAGCGGGCCTGAATTTAATTTAAAACAATCAATAGTTCATAATTAATTAATTAATTATTTATTTATTTAATAATTTGTAATTATTTTTCAGGTTCGATCAACGTAATGTATAGCGCAGTAATGCATGATAAGCATAAATTCAGATTAGTATTAATCATACAATTGATATTTTACTATAATGTTATTGAAGTCTAACTGAATTAGATATCATTTGGAGACCTCTCTTATCTTTTTTTTTAACAATTACATTAAAATTAGATTTTGCAGGCAAATTTGTCTGCATGATATATTAAGAGATATTCAGAAAAGTTAGCTTAGACACAACATTTTGAAAAAGATAAAGGAAAGAAGCTTTGTCTAAATTTAACATGCACTAAAACAAAAATAACTACCAACAAAAATAGTGTCTATTTTTTTAAGATTTAGATTTTGAGTTAGGTATTTAAGATAAAACGTAAGCTTATTACAGTATTAATATGAAAGATTTGGGTTTATACTTAAGATGCAAAAATACTATTCCTGATAGATCGTTAGTACTATTCCTGATAGGATAGAAAAAAAAATCAAATTACGTACTATTCTTTAGGAACAGTACATAATTTAAATTTTTTTTTCTATCCCATCAGAAACAGTACTAACGATCCATCAGAAATAGTATTTTTACTTAGGCAAATTTTAATATCAAAGATCGCAGAAACTATAAAAATATCATGATTTTTTAAAAGACAAAGATTAATAGATTATGCAATAAGTTATTTTTACAGGTTTAGATTTATGTCAACAAATTGACAAGCAAATAAAGAAAATTTAAGGTATATAACAAAAAGTTTCATTGATTTATTTAATTTATTTAGCAACTTGTGACTTTTATTTTTATTTTTGCTTTGGTTCTCAAAAATAATTTATTGAAAATTTTTATTTAAAATATATTTAATACATGCATTAAACCCAAATATTAAAATAAGTACTATTTCGCTTAACAAACAATAGTTTATTAACAGTTTCAGGTACTAAATGATTTCTTTTATAGGTAATATAGTTTCTTACATCAGAAAAAAGATGTTTGCTTGGAACAGAAGTGGCAGGAATAGATAAATATTTACGTGCTATTCTACTTAGAATAGAAAAAGAATATTGCTTATCACTCCATCATTGGTAAACATCAGTATTTTTAGGTAGAATTGGTGTAATAGATACGTTCAGATAATTGTCAATTTCTATTTCATGATTAATTTGACTTTCACTTTGTTCAAAAATCCTATTCATAAAGGAAGGAGTTGAAGAAGAAGAAGCTATTTCGGCATATCTAACAGATTCATCAGTTATAGATATATTTTTCCAAGTTTCAAATTCAATACGTAATTGATTAATTGTATCATTTCGTATTACAGTTGACCATGCATTCATTGTTTTTAATCATGAATCCAACAAGGTAGCAATTAGCCTGATATTATTTGGATCATCCCAATAATAGCAAAGGGAATTATAGACTACTTTTCGAATATTTGAGATTATTTGTTGTGTTGAAAGTTAATCTTGGGTGGTTAATTGTTTATCATCAGAGATTTCGCAAGAGTTGTCATCGATATCATTATCAGATAATATTTCATCTAAAATTCAAAAAAAATATTAGTTTGGAAAAGTTTAAAATTTTTCATTTTGTTTCAATTTATGCATACCATTATCAATAATTTCTTCGAATTCATCTATATCTAATTCATCATCACTAGCAAATACAAGCTTTAATGCTTCAATACTTGAGTTAACAACCAAAAGAGTGGTATATTGAATTCCACTAAAACAAGTTGTTAACTCATCAAAGGGCTGAAGTATTTGTATTATTTCCCTTAGTAATTCCCATTCACTTTTTTTAGGAACAAGGAGTTTTAATTTACGAGAATCTTTAGCACTATCTTCATCATCTTCTATTTTTAGTGTTGCTGAAAGCCTTTCAATCGCTTTACGCAAAACAAGAAGCTGTTTCCATGACTGGTAAGTGAAGTTCTATTTAGTTTTTGTATCATTAATGATATGTAGAATTTTTAATTTTTCCTCTAGTGGCTCTAAATTATTATTATTTTCTATTTCTTCCTTAGAAGAAATTTCAGGTAGATCTTCAGAATCGAATAATTGAATTAGCTTCATATTACTATTACTACATCGAGCTAAATCTCTTTGTACTTAATCAAAGCATTGACATTGTTTTGGAGATCTGAAAAACTTGATAAGTTTGTAAATTCGTTTAGTATGTTGTTCAATTACTTTTAGAGCTTAGTTCACTGTAAGTTGAAGTGTATATGTAGAACAAGAAATACATTCTATACCATTCCAAAGTCTGATAGCTTTTTTCATATTCCTATCATTGTCTGTTACTGCACAAAAAAGTTTTTCAGATAATTTATATTCTTTTATTTTCTTATATAAATAGTCTTTAATCCGTTCACCTGTATGGGAATGATCTATACATTCAACGGCTAATACTATATCATGTATCTCAAAGTCTGGAGTTAACCAGTGAAGTGTTACTCCAATATATCTATTATTATTATGAGACATCCATAAATCTGTTGTAATTGAAGTAGTTTCACAAGTAGTATCAATTAGTTCTTTAAGCTCCAATACTCCTTTGTTATAAGCAGCAACAAGATCTGTTTTAA